TTTTAGGAAGCAGGCAAGATGAAAAATTAGCAACCGCCTCCGCCAGGATTTGAACCAAGGACCTCTGAAATACCGACTCAGTGTGCTGACCACTACACCACGAAAGCACGCTAGGGTGCTATACCGTAAGTGGGAGAAATACGTCATAGAGTCTGTAGTGCCAGTACGAGAGAGCCTTCCACAGTATATATTTACAAAAACCGAAATGCGACTTGAATAAAGATTCTTCATGAACGGCAGTCTCTTCTCAAGTTACAAATAATATTGTAACACTGTCCATGGTCGCCGTATTTCTCTCTTCGGATGCAAGCGCTCCTTCCGTACGCACATCAATACGGAAGTAGGTATCTCATCAGTATAGCAGGCGTTTCCTTCCTTCTCAGTAAGGTCTCTGAGTTTGTTCTGGTTTTCATACCAAATCAAGACTAATATGAGCTCTATATAATTCATCCCTCCTCTATAATTTCGTTGTTTTCGTATTTCATTCTTTTACAATCTAAAAGCTTACTCTTCTCCTCAAACCACCCACACGAATCCTCTTTTGTTTCTTTTACTTTTTTAAGTATTTCAAATTAACAAAGGCGTCAGTCTTCTAAAATTATCTCTCCTCACTTTTAATCTTTATCTATATATCTCCTGTTTCGGTCATCCATATCTCTCTGAGAGGGAAGTGAGAGAAATTCATTACAGGTTATTACAATTTTTATAACAGACAGCTGGAATTAAGGGATTATCGCTAGTTTATATTATAATTTTGATTTACATATATTATTATTATATATATGCGTCCTCTCTCACACACACACACACACACACATATATATATATATATATATATATATGTGTGTGTGTGTGTGTGTGTGTAGAGTATATGTGTGTGTGTGTATATATATATATGTGTGTGTGTGTGTGTATATATATATATATATATACATACGTTGGATAACGCGGATTGCAATAAAAAAGGGATGAACACAACTAGACATTTCAGCAGACAAATAACAAAATTTCAACGTTCTCTGGCTAATAATTTTTGAGGTACTCGGAATACATACGTACGTACGTACGTGCAAACATCACGAAAAAAAAAACCTCTTTTGAATTCATATTCAATCCATTTTACAATCCGTCTTGAAATGAAAGAATCCTTTATTTTGTACGTACGCATAGACGTCACGCAAAAAAAAAAAATCGTCTAAATGGATTCGATAACAGCTAAAATGCATATTTTCGTGGAAATATGATTGCCGAAATTTTTCGTGATTACAATATTTTCTTTATCTGGTACAGGGAAGTAATTGTATTGTATTGTATTTTAATTATGGCAAAGCACACTAGGGCTATCTGCCTAAGGGAAAGGGATGCCTTCGTGGAGGACGTTAAGAGAAACTGGCTCGTATACACGTTACACATGGGGAAAACTACGAAAACACCCATGCAGCCAGCCCGTTCGCGGGTCGATCCTCGGACCGAACTACCAGTGTTCAGCGACTTTACCGCTCGGCCGCTGGTGGGCTACATGGAAGTAAAAATCAGCTTCAAAATTGAAGAACAAAAGAGATAAATTTACAAGCGGGCAGTCGGAGCACCTTTATAATATTCCACCTTTATACAAGTTCGATTACAAGTCCGAGCATCTTTATATAACTCTGCTTTTATGTTTAGACTATGATTTACGTTTGCATATTAAAATATCAACTGCTTACGGATGCTTAGGCATAAAAATGTCCACACCCTTAAGAAAAAGTTCCTCGCCCCCTCCAAAAATTAAAAGTTGATTTTAATAAGGGTGTGCGCACTTTTATGCCAAGGCACTCTTTAAGGAGATTTTTATCTTTTCGAACAGTAGCTGACCTGCATAAGGTTGAAGGATACTTTGTAACGGGCCTCTTTATGACATGGTCGTTTTGCAGCTTACTGGGTGAGTTGGAAAGTCACCAAGTAAGTTGTTACAATTTCCTGTGCTTAACAAGTTTCCTCGCACGGCGTTTTTCCTTGTTATGTTTCCTTTGTGTGTTTTAACTAATTCTTTAACATAAATGTTGCTGCTGTAAATTTATCTTTATGTGTACTCGAGGTTAAACTTGTAAATTACTTTTCAGGGGAAAATAATTGTAATGGTCGATTTAGGAGTTTGAAGCTCAGCTTGGAGTTATTATTTTACAACCGATTATTTTATTTATATTACAAATACACTTGCTTACCTACCTTGCTCTTAATTTCTTGAAGCCCACTAGCGGCCGAGTGATAAAATCGCTGAAAGCTGGTAGTTCTTTCCGGGGTTGGAATCTCGGCGAGCGGATCGGCTGCATAGGCGTTTTCGTAGTTTTCTCCCATTTGTAAAGTCAGTTTCCCTTAGATTTCCCTAAACGTGTAGAGTCATTAGGTTAATTGGAAGCAGAAAAGGTGAAAAATATGCAACCGCCTTCGCCGGGAATCGAACCACGGACTTCTGGAATACCGGCCCAGCGTGCTACCGTTACACCACGAAGGCACGCTAGGGAAGTGGGAGAAATACCTTATATACTCCCCTTTTTAAAGGGCGACTAGGGTTTTAGGGAACCTAGTCGCCAAATCCTGGGTGCGGAGAATCATCATCCACAACCCTTTTAGTTCAGGCGCCACTTGTAGAGACATTAGGGTTTTGTTGGAGGCCGGAGAGATGAAAAATTAGCAACCGCCTTCGCCAGGAATCGAACCACGGACTTCTGGAATACCGGCCCAGGGCTACCATACCCACGAAGCACGCTAGGAGTGGGAGAAAACCTTATATTCCCTTTTAAAGGGCGATAGGTTTAGGGAACTAGTGCCAATCCTGGGCGGAGATCAGTGACAGTGAGGGGAGGGGAGCGGTTAACAGGTAGCAGCAATGTCCACCCCCACAACGATGCATACAAAGTGCAATAATAAACACATATTATGCTGTACTCATATGCACAATTGATACCAGACGCAGTACACAGATACATGGGATGCAGTACGTAGGACACAGGATGCAATGCAATATGCAGCGGAGGTAATATAATATACAGTAATACAGTAATAATCACATATAGTGCAGAATTCATATGCATATAATTTACATAACGCAATACACAAATACACAGAACACTTTACGCAGGACACATATGTAATAATCGGAGATATTAGCATATTACGCGCACAGTGCAGTAGCAATAATAGTGTACAATCAGTGAAGCCATAGAGGTAATACGATGTGCAATAGAAGTAATGCAATATACAATGATATAAAGTGCAATAATAAGCAAATGTAATGCAATACTCATAAGCACAAAAGATACAAAAGGTACAAAACGCAGGAAATGATATGCATGACGCATAAGTAATAAATTAATGCATTAGCATTTACGCGCGCAGTACAGCAGCAATAGTAGTGTACGAGCAATGCCGCCATAGAGGCAAGTACTTGTACAGGGTATACATATGATGCGATACGTATTAGACATACATAAAATACAATATGCTGTGATAAGCATATGTAAAGCAAGACTCATGCACAATTGATACAAATCGCAATACACAGATGCGCAAAACGCGTGTGCTTAATATACGAAAACACTATACACCGACACATAAAATACTATACCCATTGCACATAAGTAACAGAGATATAAACATGTTTACATACATTGCGCATTAAAAACACATTACGCAAATTTCATTATACTCATAATTAAACATTACATCAACATAATTAAAACACCCAAGTAAACATAATTACACATAATTAAACATTACAATGTACACATTACGTATTAAAATCAAATATAAGCATTTTCCGCGCACAGTGTTGTTGCAATAGCATAATTACAAATCAAATGGCAATTTCCAAAGTTTGGTTATTTCGTACACAGGCGCACATTTCAATCTGGCGATAAATTGCAGTCTGGCAATTATTGCAATCTTGCAATTTACAATAATAATTACATATACACATATACTGTAGTGCAGTACTCATATGCGCAAAATATACAAAAGGTACAAGAAGCAAAATGCAGATATGCAGGAGACGATATGCGTGACACATAAGTTATAATTCGGAGACATGAGTATATTACGAGCGCAATACAGAAGCAATAGTAATGTACATTCAGTGCTGCCATTGAGGCAAATACTTATTCAGTGACAGATGCATATAGTGCGATACACATTGGACATACACATAAAATAAATATGCTGTGATAAACACATATAACGCAATGCTGAAAACAAAATACACAGATGAACAAAACGCATGCGCTTAAGATACAAAACACTATACCCCAACACTTAAATTACTATACATAGTGCACATATGTAATAAACAGGGATATAAACATGCATGGCATATATCATGCTTAAAAAAAAAATTAACATATGATGCGCTAGGTCCGTTATGCACGTTTGTTGCACAGATTATAGCACAATTAGCGTAGCACAGTTAGCGTAGCTCAGTTAGCACAGGCACTCAGTATACTGCGGTTGAGGACTTCTGTGAAGAACGGCGATGGACGTTTTAAGTCGGGTGACAGACGTCTTGACCCTGTGTGGCTAGGTAGTTAACCATTTGGCAAATTTTATTCACCACTGCACGGTTTTTAACCGTGAAACGGAGAAAGGCATCGAGATCGGTGGTAGGCTCTGGAAGGTGCATGGCCGAGGTAAGAGGGCATGCGAACAGGTAGTGGTTAGGGTTGCCTTCTTGTCCGCATATGCAGATGTCTGTGGTGGATATGCCATGTCTGTGGTAGTACGTGGGAAAGGGCCCATGCCCTGTTATAAACCTGGTAAGCGGCGGTATGGAGCAGAGTCGGCTAGTTGAGACTTTTGGTAGAAAAATGTGAGCGCGACGCCCCGTGTCGCAGCTGTCCCAGTCGCGTTGCCAGGCTGTAATGGTTGCTCGTGTGAGCTGTGACTTGAGGTAGGAGGATGGAGCTGGTAGGTTCACTTCTATGGCCTCATGGTTGGTGGCTGCCTCGTTGGCTAGGGCATCTGCAGCTTCATTGCCAGCAAGGCCCACATGGGCCTTCACCCATATGAGTCTTGCTGGGTTGGAAGCGATGCTGCTGCAGTAGACTTTGAATGTCTTTGATGATTGGTGATGTATGTCTGTGATTTTTTATGGCATGTAGTGTTGACTGGCTGTCAGTGCAGATTATGGGTGAGCGGTAGTTGAAGCGTGCAGCGTGTGCTATGGCCTTCAGGATGGCGAGTGCCTCAGCTTGGAAGATGCTATTATGTGGTTGGAGATGGCCCTTCCAGCTTGTGATGACTTCATTATGGTGGGTAAGAAGGAAGGCGCTGCCGACTCCTGCGTCCTGCTTAGAGCCGTCCGTATAGTAGACAGGATGAGCGCTTGTGATATTTGAAGAGGGAGCTTTTGGGATGCTGATGATGACTCCTTTTCCTTTGTCACCTGGATGTTGTCTGCTGTGATGCCTTAGGTGTTCGTAGGAGGTGGGGCTGAAGGTGTGTCCATTAAAGGTGGCATCTTGTCTGAGTTGTAGTATCCTGGTGGTCGCTGCTTCCTGCGTGGCTCTGTGATAAAGGGGAGGGATGCCGGCTAGTGTTAGTGCTGCGGATGTCGCAGTGGTTCGAAAACCTTTGCATATCATAAGCGCGAAAAGGACGCTGGATAGTGAGTAGCTGTTTTTGCTTTCTGCCCTGCATTGGATTTGCCCAGATTGTTGCGGCATACAAGCAGATGCGTTCTATGACGGTTGTGTGTACAGGATTTTGTTGATATGAGGATTCTGACCCCAGTTGATTCCTTGGAAAAGTTTGGCTTTTCTGGCTATTGCGTTTGTTTTGCTGCGTATGTACTGAAGATGGGGGATCCACGTCAGGCCTCGATCCCAGATAATCCCGAGGTATTTGAGCTCAGAAACGATCTTGATATTGGTTTGCTGTAGCTTGATACAGGGTTTCCGTGTTGGGTTGGTGCCTGGCTTTGGAATAATTAATGCTGCGGATTTATCGATGGAGAGCGTGAGTTTGAGTTTGGTGCATAAGGTGTTGAAAATTTCACATGCGGCTTTACCTCTTTCTTCTAACTCATTTCGCGTACGTCCTTGGATGATGATAGCCGCGTCATCCGCGTAGGCAGTGATCTTTGCATAGGGCGGCCATGCATAGGTGAGGACTGTGTTGAACGTAAGGTTCCAGAGGAGAGGGCCGGCACATGAGCCTTGTGGGCAGCCTCTCTCCTGGACCTTGACTGTAATGCCTTGGTTGTGTGGCACCATCAGCTTGCGATTGCTTAGATAGTCGCTGAAGGTATTGAAGAGATTTTGTGGGCAGCGAGCTGTTCTGAGGGCCTGTCTAATGGCAGGCCACCAAAGTGTATCAAAGGCGCTGCGCAGATCGAGAGAGATGAAGGCACTGTGAAGTTGTTGTTTCCTGTTGCTGTGGATGATGCGGCGAATTTCTTCAAGTGCGTGGAATGGTGATCATCATCCAACCTAGTTCACTACTGGAGATTAGGTTTTGTGGAGCCGAATAAAAAAGCCCCTCGAGAATCGAACACGGACTTGAACCGCCCAGCGTGCTACCGTTACACCACGAAGACACGCTAGGAAGTGGGGAAATACCTTATAAACAAGCAAGTTTCTCTTAGAAAGTCCTCCACGAAGGCTTCCTCCTCTTAGGCAGATAACCCTCCTGTGCTTTGCCATAATTCTATGAAACAAACTAAAACAATATAACTTCTAAAAACTGTCATTAACAAAGATGTAATCGAAAACAGGTTCTCTTTCTTAATTTTTCTGTTAAGCAAGGAGCAAAGTATAGCTGAGTCTTCTTGATACTGCTACTAAAATCTCGTCTGTTGGTCTCAGATAAATGTTATGTGGACTTCTCTTTCTCAATTCAGATGAGAAACGTCATTAGCAAGGTGGGAAACGTTTTACACCTGTAAAATGATTTACATCACCAAACTCAGATTTTGCAGTGGTTTTGACAACTGTCATGTAAACATCTGGAGATATTAATGTAATTGTAAGAACAAAACATTTGCACATTTTCAGTAATTACATAATCTTTGCGTTTCATTAAAGTTGTAAAGAAGAAAATTGTGTTGATGATCCTTAGCACATGAAGGGGAGTTGGAACCCCAAAATCTTCAAAAAATTGTGATTTCGGATTTTTGCATTTTCAAATTCTCTACACTTTTATCTTTCTAAAAATATCATTCTTTAATCTCTATGAAAATTAGAACTGTAAAAAAAATCTATTTTTAATTTGTCCTATACTGCTTTGATCAATGAGGACTGTTACATAAAAACGCGTTTTACTCCAAACGTGATTTTTTTATACTCGATGTACCTTTTCTCAGGAACTACTGCTCACAGGTATCTAAACTTTTTATGGCTTATTTATTAGGTTCCCTAATATTTACTGAAATGAGCTTTTTATAATAAACTTAGAAAAAAAAATTAAATTTTTTTGTGTGAGAAAAGTGCTAAATTTTACTATTCCTAACAAAATATCCTATAATTTACTCTAAAATTCAAAATGTTTCAAAAGCTCATTTCAGTATAATCAGATAGGTATACTTTAATTACAGAAAAAATTTCAAGCTTGTATCTTCAACAGATTTTGAGAAAAGGTACATCTAAAATGGCCAATTTAACATTGTTGGTATAAGGGTTTCTGATACCCTTGAACTGCTTCTTTTGTATACAAAGTTCTTAAATAAACCGCTTCCTTATTTGACATTAACACCAATATCATGTTTCCATATGTAATTAAAGGTTCTAATAAGTCCTTAGTTCTGACAAATTCCATTCTATTCTAATCATTCGAGAGCATTTTGGACTTCGTGAATAAACATTGCGTTGTGTTTTATTTTCAATTTATTTACTGAAACGGGAAAACCTAAAAGGAACTGGAAATAAAGTTCATTAGTGGCTCACCTTGAAGTGAAATCAATTATTAAATTTTCGACCTGTCTAAACTTGTTTGCGGGATGTAAACACGCGCCGACTCGTGTTGTTATATCCGCAAATGAGTCAATAAATGTCAAGCCGCAATACGATGTGACATGCAGGGCTTCACGCTCTGCTTTATGTGTAGCAAAATTATATTTAATTATATTCTCAGTCAGAAAAGATGAGTCATTAATTCTAGACGAGAAAATTTCAGGAAATGTCAATCTAGATGAGAGAATTGAAAAGTGGATTTGTGAGAAAATAGTAAATCTTGATGTGAAAATAAAAATAAGAAAAATGAAATCGTTATAGATAATTTGATAAATAGTTAAGGATAAGTTGTTATCAATTAATAATTTTGCTATAATCGTAGAACAGACTGACACTTTGAAACAATTTTTCAGCAATTTACTTCTGAGTTATTCCGAGAAAGAAGTTTTAATTGGATTTAGATGCAGAGAGATGTTTGCACTGAAATATGCATTTTTATATCATAAGTTAGAGTTTACATTTAGTGGGATGTCAGTACATAAAATCCATATATTTTTGTTTCATTTCCTCTTTTTTAGCTTCGAATCTTCGAATGTGCATTAAGCTTCTCTTTCGAGTATGAGTAAAGGGAATCTACAGTAAAAGATTTATAATTTTACGAAAGGATTTGAAACCCGAAAACATTTTAAAAGTTTTTACTGCTGCTTTTCTGAATTAAAATCCTTCCACAATGTTGTACGGGTTCAAGAAATTTCAAAGGGAAAAATGTTTTTTCCACATAAATATCCATTAGAGAAGCTTTCGATTTTATAAGGAAACACACTATCGGTATGGCGATTTCGACTGAATTCTGCATATTGATAAAATGAAAGTATATGCGAGAGAAAAAGCAATTTTTTTCAATAGAACCCAAAACTCTAAATATTACTTATATTACTTATAAAGTCTACTGACAGTTCGCTCAGCTCATTTTAAATTGGTTATTTTCTTAGTAAATGTACCTTGTTTTTTTACATGTTCTTGTGTGATATAAATAAAATGTTTATTTATCTTGTTTGTTAAAAAGTGTGGGTACTTGTTAAAATACCACTCTATATATAAATCTATATAGAGTGATTTGTACCATGAATTCTTTATGATATTCGCTGGTTAACTGTTAAGCCTAATGAGGCAGACTGCAGGTTTTCGTCTTCAAATTTGTCTTTTTGGTTGAAGGTTTTCGTTGCGTTGGCATTTAATGCTTGTTTCGCCGGCACGCTGTGAGACACGCCATTGTGCGAGGCTCTTTTATGTCTTTAGTGCATTTTTTCATCATCACTGTTGCTTTCTTTTATTCTGTAGAATTTTGTGATTGTTTTATTACTAATTTACAATAAATATGTGCTTTTCAATATCGAATCTACACTGGTGTGCAAAAATTAAGGACGAGACGTTTTTTCAATATAACTTTGTACAAAAGCTTTCCAAATCAACACATTTAATACCGCAAGATCTCCAATACGTAAGGACATGAGTAACGTAAGCAACACTTACTAAAAGAGAGATCAGAGGGATAAAAAGAAGCTTTATAGAAAAAGTAGCTTCGAGCGTAATGTGACTGAAGGCCAAAACATCCCTGTGATGGGTGTCCAGCAAGAAACATCCGGTCTTTAATAGGGGATATGATCTCCCCTGACTGCTAGGCAGGTTTCACAGCGTCTGCCCATGCTGAGAATGAGGGTGTCAATGAGTTGTTGAGGCATTGCTGCCCATTCGTCTTGCAGCGCCAATCGAAGCTCCGGAATCGTTACTGGTGGTAAGGTACGAGCTGCCAAGCGTCTGCCTAGAAAATCCCATACATGCTCGATGGGATTGAGATCCGGAGATCGTGCCGGCCAATCCATACGTTCAATATCCTCACTCTCTAAGAGCTGTTCGGCAGCTACTGTGGGATGACATGGTGCATTGTCGTCCATGAAAAGGAACTGCGGACCCATAGCGCCTCTAAAAAGACGCACATATGGACGAAGAATCTCGTTACAATAACGGGTCCCGTTGACTGAACCTGCGTTCTAAGATGTGAAGGTCTGTACGACTACCAAGCATGATGCCTCCCAAACGAGAACACCGCCACCTCCATACCTGTCCCTTTCAATGATGTTCGAGGGATGATTGCGGCTTCCCCGCTCTCTCCAGATGAGTATGCGATGAGAATCGCTACTCAGACTGAATCTGCTCTCATCTGTAAAGAGTACTCGTCCCCATTCATTGTCTCTCCAATTCCGGTGTTCCCGGCACCACAGAGAACGCCTTCTCCGATGGGCAGGCGTTAGAGGTACACACCGTACAGGGCGTCGTGCAAACAGACCACCACCGTGCAGTCTTCTGGCCACGGTAAAACGCGATATCGGTCGTCCAGTCGCCTGTGTCGTGTGTCTAGCGATTTCTCCCGCTGTCTGCCGCCTGTTTCTTCTGGCCTGTAAGGCAATATACCGGTCATCTGCGGGTGTGGTTCCTCGTGGACGACCACTACTAAACCCCCGGATAGCTGTTCCTGTAGTTTGAAATTGTCTCCAAAGTCGTGAAACGATGTTGTGAGCAATTCCGAACTCTGCAGCCACACTTGTCACACTGTCACACTGTGATTCGACCTCGGGTAAAAGGATCCAGATGTCGTCTAACAGATTGATTATTCGCCATTTCTCGCTGAGGCAGCA